TTTTTTTTTTGAGCCAGAGTCTTGCTCTGTTGCCCAGGCTGGAGTGCAGTGGCATGATCATAACTCACTGAAGCCTCCAACTCCTGGGCTCAAGCAATCCTCCCACCTCTGCCTTCCAAATAATTGGGACTACAGGTAAGCACCACTGTCCCGGCTAATTTTTGTAGAGATGAGGACCTCACTATATTGCCCAAACTGGTCTCAATCCCCTGACCTCAAGCAATCCTCTTATCTTGGCCTCCCAAAGGGCTGGGATTACAAGCATGAGCCCTCATGCCCTTCTAAAAGCCATTAAAAAACTGGATTTGGGATTCCTCCTTCTAGATAAATTGCACAAGGCAAAGTAGGAGGTGGAAATAAATAAAGCCAAAAGTTGAATGTGCCTTTTATTTGGGTAGGTTAGGGACACTGACCTCCTGGACAGAGACTAAGGTAGTTTGCCTTTCCGTGAACTAGTCACGGAAGCCTTCGGGAAATAGACTGAGATCTTTTAGAAACTTGGACAAAGGGTAATGCAGTGCTGAACTTGAACTAACAGCCCCGGGGAACAGCTTTCTTCTGAACATTTTCCCTAGGGGTCAGGAATCTATGAGACATAGTGGGTGGGCAGATGGTGACTTTGAACTGGTTTTATTGTTCTCCTTTGGCCTACTAATTATGTTCTTATACCTTGTCCTCTAGTTTTGAGATATTTCCCCAATTTCCAAAGTAATTTTTTTTTCTCTTGAATTTTCTCTTATTTTTAGTCTTTCATTGATCTCGTTCTTCTAATCATTAGGATTGTTTTCTAGGCTTTTGTGACCCCAGAATGACCCAGCTTAGTTTTATTACTCTTGGTCATCAGCTTCTTTTACCTCACCTCTTCAAGCGAGTTTTTCTTTAATGTGTTTGTTCTGAACCAAATTTCTCTTTCAATGCCTGGCTTCCATTCTTCCCAGGGAAAGAAGTTTAAATTTCGTTTGAAACGAACTGTGGCCTTCCTTTAGATTTAAAGAGTGCTGCCACTTTTTTTTGAGTTGGAGTCGCACTCTGTCGCCCAGACTGGAGTGCAGTGGCCGTTCCCGGCCACCGCAGCCTCAACCTGCTGGGCTCTGGCGATCCTTCCGCCTCAACCTTCCGAGTAGCCGGAATTACAGGTATGTGCTACCACGCCTGGCTAATTTTTGACTTATTGTAGAGATGAGGTCTCGCCAAGTTGCCCATGCGGGTCTTGAACCCGTGGGCTCAGGCATTCCACTCACCTCAGCCTCCCAAAGTGCAGGATTACAGGCTGAGCCACCGAGCCTGGCTGCTGCCATTTTATAATTGGTTTTCACAGAATCACAGTTTGGGCTGTTGCTGGCATACTGTTTTGTGTGTGCGTGTGTGTATTCATATATGCGAATGCTTGATTAGAAGTCAGGCTGATGTTATATCTTCAATGTCTTCAGAAAAGAGGAAATGCCTTCCAGCATCCTTGAAAAATCTCTCATATTGTGGGGATAAAATTTCAATTATATTATTTTATTTTTAACAACAAAATACTAGTTGGAGAAGACATACTAACCTTGATTTGACTCACCAATGACTTTGGGTGCTCTAGAAATCACCAAGGAATCTGGTAGAAAGAGAGAGGCAGAAACATTTTATGTGGCTTAAATAGCTTCCAGAGACCTGGCCTCACAATTGTGACAGTTTGAGAGACAATTCTAAAAGCAATTCTCTGGGTGGGTAATTCACAGAGATTTAATTCTTTAATTTTTAAATTATTTGTATCTCTTTTTTTTTGAATCAGGATCTTACTTGTTGCCCAGGTTGGAGTACAGTGACACGTTCATGACTCACCGCAGTCCTGACTTCCTGGGCTCAGGTGTGACCCTTCCACCTCAGCATTCCATATAACTGGGATTATAGACATATGCCACCATACCAGGCTAATTTTTTAAAATTTACTGTAGAGAAGAGGTCTCTCTACTATTACCCATGCTGGTCTTGAACTCCTTGGCTCAAACAATCCTCCTACCTTGGTCTCACAAGATGCTGGGATTACAGGCATGAGTTGCTGTGCCTGACCCTCATAGAGATTTTAAATGTGTGTATATGGTTTGGGATAAGATTTCCAGCAAGTGCATCATACACAGATTTTAAAAAAATGCTTTATCTCAAATAGATAGTCACCTGAAAGATCACATTACACTGGAAACATCACACAGTGACTCAAAGGGTCATCCTAGTTCTGCCTGTGACAAGTTTAAATAAGATTGTTTCATGAAATGTGAGGGCATGGAAACAATATTTCTAAAATTTATTATGTCAACACTTTATTATCTTAAATATGATAGTGCTGCTTCATAGTATAGCCATTTTTTAATTCCATTGCATTCTTAAATATTATATATTTGTGTTTTCCAAAAACCTTTTTCTGAGGGACAAGGTCTTATTAGAAAAATAGGGCACGGTGTCTCAAGCCTGTAATTTCAGCATTTTGGGAGGCCAAGGCGAAAGGATTGCCTGAGCCAGCGGGTTCGAGACCAGCTGGGACGATATGGTAAACTCTCATCTCTGTGATAAATAAAAAATTAGCTGGGCGTGGTAATGTGCACCTGTAGTTCTGGCTACTTGGAAGGCTGAGGTAGAAGGATCGTCAGAGTCCAGCAGGTCGATGCTGGGGTGGCCATGAGCGTGCCACTGCACTCGAGCCTGGGTGACAGGGTGAGACTCCAACTCAAAAAAAAAACAAGGAAAAGAAAAGAAAAATAGCGGGGTGTCATGTTACATTTGGTCTCACCTTGTATTTTGATGTATGTAGTACCTTTGAAAGGTGGACGTAGTTTTAACATATTGTGTGTATTGTCTCAGGCTGAAGTGAAAGATACAATTCCTCTTCCCATTCTTGGGTGCATTGGATCTCAGGGAATATCTGTTTAAATTCCCAGTTTTAAAACAGATCTTCCTTTTCATCCAAGTCTCCAGCCCTGAGGCTACCAGCAACCTTCCAATTTTGGATCCCCTGGCCACTTTTTAAAGCTCACTTTTTTCCTCCTTAAATCTTCCCATCTTGAAATTCCACTTCGGTTGTTGACGTCCTCCTGCCTCTGCGCCTGTCCCTTCCCAGTCTGCTGTGGTTGTCGGTGTTCCCCACCTGCCTGCTGGTCCCCTCTCCCATTCTCTGCCCTCCTCCTTGGACAATCTCCTGATCTTCAGCTTCTGCCCATACTGAGGTTGAAAATTGGTAGTCTGTAGGCTGTGTCTTGCCCGCAAGGTTGGTCCATGCATGCTGTTATGGTTGTATTAAATAGGAATTTGTTGCCAACATTTAAAAACAGATCAAATCTAGCCTTCTGGCTTCTCTTGCAAAACGAGGTGAGCTGGCAGTGCTGGGACCGAGCTGTGAGTGACTGTCCTGGTTAAGTAGGGTTCTCCTGTCCTGTTTACCACAGCCAGTTCCAGCTACTGCTGCCTTTTGTTTTGAACATTGACGTAGTGTATCTGTTGCTGCTTTTGTTTTTATCATGATTACACTATTCAATTCCTTACAGTAGAGATAAGAGGGACACTTTTTTTTTTTTTTGGTCCATCTCTTTATTCAAAGTAGGAAAATAAAAACTGGATCAAAAATAGTATGTTTCAAAACAAAATTATTTTTGTGTGTGCATGGAAGAGAAGAATATTCTTCTAATTAATATTTAAGATGTGCCTGAGTTAGCAGTTTACAATTTAAGATGCCATAGCTTGTGATCGTTGACCAGATGGTTTTGATGATCAACTATATCCTTTGGCCACATGAATACTTTTGCTTCTGAAATTCAAAATGATCCCTTTGTCATCTAGATTCATTGATATTTACTGAATGCCTGGAATGTGCAAAGGGTACTGGGGTACAGTGGTAAGCAAGGCAGACATGTTCACTGCCCTCCAGGAGTGTACAGGTGGCACAGACACTACAGGTCTCTCACACTTAGCATGACTCTGAGTGCGTCCTTCCCATACCTCCTCCTGTCAGCTCAAGGCCAATGAATGTGGCATCATCTGTCATCTGATTAGCAATCTTCATTCCATCTGGAACCTAGCTCCTTTTGGTTCTGTAAAGTTGTTAACTCCTTAGACAGAACACCAGGAATGAGGACACTGACATCTTTGGAGTCTATTATTTATTCTGCCCATGGTATTTTTTATTTTATTCATTATTTTTATTTTTTTGAGTCAGAGTATCACTCTGTTGCCCCTGCTGAAGTGTGGTGGCACGCTCACGACCACCACGGCTTCAGCCTCCTGGGCTCAGCTGATCCTTCCGCCTCAGCCTTCCAAGTAGCTGGAACCGCAGGTGCACGCCACCACACCTGGCTAATTTTCTTTCTTCTTCTTCTTTTTTTTGGATTTATTATAGAAATGAGGTCTCACCAGGTTACCTGGACTGATCTCAAACTCCTGGGCTCAGGCAATCCTCTCCCAAAGTGCTGAGATTACAGGCGTGAGCCATTGTGCCCAACTGCCTGTGGTATTACTTGCTTGCCAAATAGATTAACTTATTGTCATCTGCCAATTTGTCATGACACCGGGCTCCAAGCATGGAGGTCGTAGGACTTATCAATTAAATCAGATTTCAACTTTTTTTTTTTCAACTGCTTCCCCAAATCTCTTACTTACTCTAGCTGATGTCGTTCACAGTGTCACCAACCCGTGGCCACATGTGTGTTTCCCTGTCTTGAATGATGTGTTCCACTCTCTCCTAACCCTGATATTTAACTTTCGGGTTCCAGTTTAAGTCTCACTTCTTCTGGAAACTTTTAATGATTCCTTCTGCCCTCTTTACCCTCTCTTCTCTGAAATTCCTTAGCTTTTACAATCTATAACAATTAATTGTATCTTGTCTTACAAGTATGTACTTGTTGATTGAGTTTCGGCAGAAAGCGTTATGGGTTGGTTGGAAGTGACTCTAAGTTCATTTCTCTTCAAAGCAAAATGTTATTTCATTATTTTGAATGTTCATCTGAAATGTTGTGTGATTTTGTTTATTTCAGAGACTTGAAGATAGAAAATTTGCTACTAGATGAAGACAATAATATCAAGCTGATTGGTATGACCTTTTTTTAAGCAAAATTATCTTTTAAGTGTTGTGTTGTCAATTTTCAACTTTGAAAATTATTCATGGTCTTTATCTATCTGCAGACAATATTATAAATCACTTTTTTAAACCTCTGGTATTTAACAATGGTTTTAAAAATGAAAATTCATTTTAATGATAATTTATAAATTTAATTTTAAACAATAAAACAATTAGGAAGGTAAAACTACTGCAATGTGATCCAGAAATGGATTTCACAACCCCAAATAAATGTTTCTTGGTTACATGTTTCTTTGGCTTATTCAAACTGTTGTTTCTCCATAAATTCAGATGGAGCTGAACTTTTACAGATGTTGTTTTTATTTGCATCACCAAGAAAATGTCTTTAAAATGGTGGAAAATAGTTTGGCTTAGAAATGCTGCCCATAGCTTCACCATGTCTTGTTTCACTTTTCAATGAATTTTGGGATGCCCAATATAAGGCAGAATGCAATTAGCCTTCTCTTTTAAATATATTCTTTAAAAAAGTTTTCTTTTTTACTTTTTGAGTTGGAGTCTCACTGTCCCAGGCTGGAGTGCAGTGGCACAATCACTGCTCATTGCAGCCTTGAACTCCTGGGTTCAGGCGATCCTTCCACCTCAGCCTCTTGAGTAGCTGGGACTACAGGTGCACACCATCACACCTGGCTGTTTTAAAAAAATTATTATTTTCTGTAGAGACAAGGTCTCACTATGTTGCCCGGGATGGTCTCGTATTCCTGGGCTCAAGCAATCCTCCCACCTCGGCTTCCCAAAGTGCTGGAATTACAAGTGTGAGCCACTGTGACTGGCCTTTAATATATGCCTGATCCAAGCCCTGTGGTATATCGGTGGCTTTGCAGAGAGGTCCTCATGGAAGGATAATGAGAAGTCTGTACCATTTGGAAGGAAGCTCCAGGATAGAGGAAGTCATAATTGGTTCATAATCAGGGTCCATAAGTGAATTTACTCTGTGGCTCATTCTCTAGAATAATTCAGGTTGTTTTGTTGTTGTTGTTGTTATTGTTCTTGTATTTTTTGTTGTTGTTGCCTCAGTGATTGCTCTTGGCAGAATTCAGGGCATCATTTTACACCCCATATTAACCCATCTTTTACTCTCTTATCTTTCTTTTCTCATCTCAAATGCAACTAATGTCTTCCATCTCAAGCTTGAAAACACTTTAAGACAAAAAAGAAGGATTGATAGAACTTTATTAAATGAACTTTTGTAATGAAGAAGGAACTTTTGTTTGGGAAATACTGGAAATCGTCTCAAGACTCTCCCAAATATGCCATTCAGATGATGTATTAGATAAATACTTAGGAAGTATTATAATTTATTTTAAATAAATGACTAAAATAACAGTCTGCTCCTAACCTAGTACCAGGCGACTGGCTACTCAGACCCTTTGGCTGGGTATTGAACACCACTGATAGGTGTTGATGGATTCCCCCATGATGAGCAGATGAAGAGGAAACCTTTTCTCCCAAAAGCATTTAAAGGACTCTATTCTTAGATAATCAAAAAGGTTTTTATTTTTGTTAAATTGTTTTACTACTGCATTTTAGTTTTCTAGGAGGCAGAATAGAGAAGCCAGAAAACGAGGTGCGTGTTGAAATGCTTGCAGGATATGTCTCTGGTCCTCATTTCCAGGATATAGAGCGTTAAACAAAGGAACCTCCTGGTGGCAGGGGGAAGAATGAAAAAAGAGTTTTTTTAAGGTTCCCTAGCAGGTGGACCTGTAACTTATCTTTGGAAAATGTGTAAATGACGGTGACATAGTTGTCCTAATAGCAGTAGGGACTAGAAGAGAACAATCCTTTGTAAAAGCTGAATTTACATGGCAGTGAAAGTTAGAATCATTCACTCTTGGGTGGACTGCTGGTGAGTTGGGCAATGCTCAGTCTACTGGTGGTTTGTTTCCACATCCCAGTGGGGCATTTCCCCTACTGTCTCTTTCCTTCACTTTTGGACCTGTGCTTGTTCTCTCTGCTTCCTCCTCATGTGTTAGCCCTAGATGACCATTTGTAGAACCGTCCTGTGTAATAAGCAGTGCTGCAAAGCACAGGCCTTTTCGTTGTTTAGATGATTGCCCAGAAGGTTCTGGAAGAACCAATCACTCTATGCAGAGGATGCATTTATAAGTAACTCACAGATGGACTGAGTAATAAAACCTCTCAGGCGAGACCAGTACAAGTAAGGCGAAGAGATTATGTATCTAAATTAGAGTCTACTGTTTTCCTCTTCATGAGTGGGAGGGTAGCTCTTTGGATGCCAGGAACCATGTTACTAAAATCCCCCAGAATCATCAGCTCTGGTGATGGCTGGATGACACTTACACAGGCATTTCTGGTCATTGGGACAGAACAGGCCCAGTCAGAAACCAGGATGCTTGCAATGCTAGGAAGGAGGGTCCGATTCAGTAGAGTTCCCTTTGTCAACTCTCCGTCGGGAGGTTGAGTTCTCTCTAACCCAGCTAACCGCAGGACATAGGAAAATAAGATAGAAATACCCTTGGTGATCTTATTCAGTTTAAATCTGATCTTATTCTTAAACCCAGTGAGCCACTACCTGCAGTTTTGCACATAATATAGTATTTTCAAGGTGTGGAACTTTATGAAAAAAAGAGTGAATTAGTTATTTTCTCCCCTAGAGGGGAAGGCTATGTTCTGCAAATAGTGTGTCTTAATTTACTGTCGCACAGCAATTGCTATTTATTTTTTTGTTGCCTAGAACTTCAACATGTTCTCTAAGAATTTCATAGTGCAGCAAGTTAAATCCCGAATTCTAATCTTGGTGTCACCATTTGACATAAGTACACTTCATTTTATGTGCATTTAAGGTGACAGTTTTTCAGTACTGTGAGTGTTAATATCTACTTTTTTAATATTTAAAATTGTTTTAAAGAAACATTTTCAGTTGATTCCCCTCCCCCCATTAAGCTTCCAGCTAAATGAGGATCGGCCAAAACTAAAGAGTCCTAACTCACACCTGCCAGGAGAGTGACATTATACCACCCTTGAAGGCAGGTGGGAGTTGCATTTTGTTTAGCAGAATCTGCATTTTTTCCTGCATCAGGGCAAAGTGCTGGAAGGAAGATCTGTGCTTTGTGGGGTTTCCTGCTCCTGGATTGGGCAATTTGGATCAAAGATCTCTTAACTCCTGTCTCCTTGCAACTTGAAAGCCCTTTGAACCTCCTTTTCTTCAAAGGAATTACCTAGTTGTTTTTTCAAAGGTGATTATCGCTATTATGGTTTTCTCTGAATAGTTTCTCTTTCTTTGAAAGAAGTTGGTTTAAAGAAATCAACTTAAGCCATGTTTCCAATTAACTCGAATTACCAGGAGATTTGATTTAATCAGGATTTTTTCCCCCCCTTCAAAAAAAGCAGTCTGATGTTTGGTAAGTTTAATATAATTTTAAAATGGAAGAGCTGCAACTCAGAACAGCTTTGCACTTCAGTATTTCAAAGCAGCATTCATTTGGGCGTTCTTCGAAATTCGTTTTGCAGCTCTCAAAAAATTGATTGCTAATTGATGGAGGTATTTACCAAATCTAATAGAGATAGGCCCATGTGACATTGCTGGGAGGTGAACTTCTCTCTAGCTTCACAAGTCTAATGATAGACAGATGTGTAAAATGTTTAAATAATGTCAATTATGAATGTGAAATGAATAGGTTATTTCTCCACAATATATTTTCAATCAAACCTTCTTGGCTAGATAAACACTAAGCACTTAAGATATGGATTCTATCTCCTCCATGCCCCCAAATCCTCTGCTCATTTATCTTTTTGACTCTTCCCAGACTTGTCTGGGACAGTGGAGGGTGATCTGGTCTCTTATCTCGCCTCTCCCTGCCCTCTTTGGCTAACAGGACCTTCTTTTTAGACCCAGGTCGGGGAAGATGAGGAAGTAAACCAAAGAGGCAGTTCTTTGCTGTTAATGGAACCCTGCTGAGATGAAAAGGAGTCTTTTGTTTTAATCTCAGAAATTTAGAGTTACATTTTCTGGGATTCCGGTGAGATTGGGTCTCTAACATCAGTATTAATGAAGCTTTCCTTGAAATAGGAATAAAATAAGGATAAAATGAAATCATCTTTATTCTATGATCTTTATGCACTTGTCTGTTCGCTAAAATTCTTTTAGGTTCGTTGCCAAACTGAAAGCGGTGAAACAACCTTCTGATCTAAAAGAACAGTATGATTCCTGTTTTTATTAAAATAGTCATCCCTCCTGTTTCAGTGGTCCATGGGCTGGGCTCTGAGAACAGGGCTTTTTGGATTGCTTTTAATAGAGATCTCCCGAAATGAAACCAGAGACCCTCTGCACTTGACTCCCGAAGGACTTTTCTTGTACAGGGCTTATGTTGTCTACCGGTGCTGGCTGGGCTGACGGGAACGGAAATGGAGAGGGGACCGTGGACAGTGCAAAAGAGGAGAGGAGGAGGGTGGTTCATAGGAAAAATGGAATCATAAAATAACAAAAGAAGAGTTAAGTGTTTGGTCATATAGTGCTCCCAGTTAGCTTGTTTGCCAATCCCTATTGCAGTCTGAGTTGAAAAACTTGGGTGATATTCAGACCTTCAAGAGTTTTCAGAGGGGTCTCTCTTTTTCTTTTCTTTTCTTTTTTTTCATCTTTGTTTTAGATTCAGAGGGTATACATGCATGTTTGTTATATGGGCATATTGTATACTTGTGGCGATTGGGTCTCAGGTGGCCCATTCCACAGATAGTGAACATTGCACCCAATAGGTAGTTTCTGAATCCTAAACCCTGCTCTCCCTCCCCACTTATTGGTGTCCCCATGTCTATTGTTTCCATCTTTGTGACTGTTTAGTTCCCACATGTGAGCGAGAACAGGCAGTGTTTGATTTTCTGTTTCTGAGTCAGTTCACTTAGGGTGAGGATCTTCAGCTCCATCCATGTTGCTGCAAAGGACATGATTTCATCCTTTAGAGAAGCTGTCTCATCACATAGTTTAACTCAGCGACTGTTGGAAAACCTTTTGGCTGTGTCATTTTGACCCATTGTGTGCAAGTTACTTCACAGACTCCCAGCTCTACCCTGTACTGTGTTTTTCCTTTCCTGAGTTTTCTTATAACTTTCCTAGCAGTCATGCACGTTGCAGGTGGAGACATGTTAGAGTGCAGGAGAAAACACAATCATGAAACTAGACATAAATACTGCAATTGAGACTTGGAGCCTGTCTCTGCCTGAGCCCTGTGGCCTGAGAGCCTTCTGTTTGGGGGGTAGGACCATAATATTTACATTGAAGTTCAAAGGATGAACTGTGATCTTAATGCTCAGATCAACAAAGATTGAGGAAAGATAACAGACCAGGGTATAACACTCACAGCTCTCTAATTACCTGTCAGTTACAGTATCTTTGGCATCATAAGTAAACACACCAAAAAGGCATAATAGACCCAAATTGGCTTTAGATGTGTGGCTTTTCTTTCCTCTTCCTGGTTGCCTTAATCATTCAAGAACAAAGTAATGCCATGAGGTCACTTAGTCTTAGTTCTTGTTGCCATTTTTCTGGTGCTATTTTCCAGCCAACATTCAGGATTATCTCGATTATTGGGTATATTTTTTCCTTCTTGAAGTCATCATACAGACTGTATATCTTTGGGAGGGATTTTTTTTTTTAAATAGAGACCAGGTCTTACTATGTTGCCCAGGCTGGTCTTGAACTCCTGGGCTCAAGCAGTCCTCCTGCCTCAGCCTCCCAAAGTGCTGAGATTACAGGCATGAGCCACTGCACCCTGCTGAGGGGGATTTAAAAAAAAAATTAATGAAATGAAAACATTAAGCTGCCAAAGTCAGCTGTCAATGGCTAGATCACATGTCACTGAGGGTGACATAGACAACTAGCCAGAGCAAATCAATCTTCCTTCATCTTTTCTGTATTTGGCCACTTGGAAGCTAACTCCTAGACCCTCCGCTCGTTCTCTCTTCATGCCTTCGTCCTAGAAAGAGAAGCCTCTCTTTTTTCCTGGATGACTCATTTACAAGACTGGATGGAAATAGGTTTCAGTTCTACATACTGTTGGCTCTCACTGGCTTTTACAGTGAGCCTGATGAGAAAAATTCCCAACTAAGCCAGGGAACTCCACCTGACATTCTTTTGTCTTGAGACGCATATCCAGAGGTTTATGGTTTGCAGCTGCTGGGTTTTCCTTCTGGATGCTAAGTGATGTGTTAGCCTGAGAGAATGTTTCCTTTCCTGCTGCCTTTCCCCGCCCCCCTTCATTTCCGCAGTTCTCTAATTCAGAGCTTATTTATTTTTTTCTCTCCACTTTGCAGACTTTGGTTTGAGCAACTGCGCAGGGATCCTGGGTTACTCGGACCCATTCAGCACGCAGTGTGGCAGCCCCGCCTATGCCGCACCCGAGCTGCTCGCCAGGAAGAAATATGGCCCCAAAATCGATGTCTGGTCCATGTGAGTTACTGAGCTTCTGAAAGCGAATGTTCCCCCTGCTGTCTCTACTTGTCCCTTTCTTATGAAATAATGCTTGTGTATTGGATGAGCATGGATTATATAATAGGCTCTGGAGTATGTCATCTGGTATCCTTTGGGCCCTGGGTTTCCATCTCTGTGCCTTCTAGTCTTTTCTGTGCAAGCTGTCAGAGTGACCTTTACCAAAATTCACTGCGGGAGAGAAGAAAGCCAAGTCCCGCCCTCATGGAGCTCACATTCTGGCTTCGTGACCCACTTGTGTCCCTTTCCCGTGCCCTAGCATCCCGTCACCATCAGTATGAGACTCTATCCTGGTGCTTGGCCCTCGCACCTTGCGGGACCTGCCCTGTCCACCTCTCCTGCCTCTTTCCATATGAACCTCGCCTTCTGCTCATGATTTTTCAGACACGTTGGCCTCCCTGTGTCTTTTCCACTTCTAGGCTTTGCATTTGCTATTTCCATTGCCCCAGATGTCATTTTGCAGCTCTTCAAACGTCCTGCCCATCCCCACACCCTAAACTTTTTTTGGATGGTTGGAGTCTCACTCTGTTGCCCAGGCTGGAGTGCAGTGGCATGCTCATAGCCACTGCAGCCTTGACCTGCTGGGCTTGAGCGATCCTTCCACCTCAGTCTCCCGAGTAGCTGGACTCACAGGTGTGCACCACCACACTCGGCTAATTTTTTTACTGTAGAGACGAGGTCTTGCCAAGTTGAACGGGCTGTCTCGAAACTTTGGACTCAGGCAATCCTTGCCCCTTGACCTCCCAAAGAACTGGGATTGCAGCTGTGAACCACTGTGCCTGGCACCCCCTGCTTCTCTCTATCTTCCCTACACTCCCCTCGTCTAGGCTGGCAGAAAAGCCAACACTTGCTGAACATTCGGTGTATGCCAGATGCCAGGTCACTTATTTTCACAGTGACCCAGTGAAATTGTTACTCTCTATTATCCTATTTTATGGAAAATGAAGCCCGTCATAAGAGAAATTAACAAAATTGCCCAAGGTCATGGAGCTGTGAAGTGGTGGAGCGGAGATTTGAACCAGGCAGTGTCTTGCAGGGTCTCAAAATAAAGTACCAGCTCTTGAACATGGCATCTGAAGCCCTTGCTTGCCCTGTGGCCTTACTGAAGCCAGTCCCCCTCCCTTTCCCCCCAGCCATTCTCTAGTTCACCCGGCAGCTTCCTGTTTCCTGAACACAGCCTGCCCTGCTACACTACTGCCCTTGAACGTGCAGTTCCTTCAACCAAGCCTTCTTTCTCCTGGTCCTGCATCCTGCCCCTTTCCCCTTCCTCTTATGTTTTGTGGGGTGCTGGTTCCCCTGGGTAGCCCTCCCTACCTCCAGTCAACTGGCTTTGAGGCCCTCCCAGGTCTGCTCCACGCACTCCTGCTCCCTGCTCCCTGCTCGCTGACTTTCATTATGTGTCATTGTCCTTTGCTGGTACCCCCAGGGTGGCTTGTTCCTAGGGTTTCCTCAGCACCTGGGAAAGGCCTGGAGAGAGGGAGGAAGGAGGGAGACAGGAAAGGGAAGAAGAAAGGGAGTAAAGGAAGAAGGAAGAGAAAGAAGGACAGGAGGGAGGGGCAGGCATCTTCTCCAGAGGACGAGAAGCTAAGAAGGTCAGGGCTGAAGCAGTGGAGAAAGCAAACTGAGGAATGTGAATCTGCTGAAGGGTCTGGAAGTAAGGGGAACTCAGGACGTTCTGATTGGAGACTGAGAAGAAGCAGAGACCAGAACTAGATGCCGAGGGAGCTAGAATTCCCAAACTTTCCTGCAAAGGGCTGGCTTCCCTACAACCCTGACTGAGAGGACCTGTCCCTCAACGAGGGAGTAAAGCAAGTCAGGAATCGGCTTCTGTCTCTTGCTGCCCCCTCTGGTCCTCAGAACTGTCCTGTGAGGCACTTCTCCCATCCCCATTTTGCACAGACAGGAGGGAGGAGTGAGCACGGTCCAGAGGCACATGCACAGCTTGTACATGGTGGGGCCGCACATTGCTAAAACTTGAGCTCCTGGTCACTTGGCGGGTGTGGTCTGGTGTGCAGGCTGCAGGTGGGCCATGTGTGATGTGCTGCTGACCCTCTGAAGTGGGCTGAGGCCACATGGATCAGGTGGGATGGAGCAGGCAGTAGTGGCAGAGGGTGCCTTCTCTTTGAGGTGCTAGTCACGGTCTCTTTTTTTTTTTTTTGAGTCAGAGTCTCACTCTTGTCACCCAGACTGGAGTGCAAGATCCTTCCACCTCAGCCTTCTAAGTAACTGGGACTACAGGCACATGCCACCACACCTGGCTGATTTTTCTGATTTATTTTGCAGATGAGATCTTGCCAAGTTGCCCCGGCTGATCTCGAACCCGTGGGGTCAAGCGATTCTGTCACCTTGGCTTCCCAAAGTACTGGGATTACAGGTGTGAGCAATTGTGCCTGGATGCACACACTCTATACAGATAGGCCTCAGAATTCTTCTCGACACAGTCTTCCTGACAGCCAATACCAATGGATTAGAGTCATACATGAGAGGAAGTCCATTCTGGGTTTCTTCCAACACTTAAAAACTCTGTTAAGTGGCTGGCACACCGTCTTCCCTCGGTAAATATTTATTGAATGAATGAATATGAATGTGTGAGTCTATAATCACCTTCTTAAGAGTTAGGAAGCTCATTTATGCTAAATGAGAAGCTATTTATGCTAAAGAGAGAATTTATGCACCGTCAAGGAGGCTACGTGACTTGAAAGACCAAGATGTCCCTTTTCTTATCCATTTGTGTTGTTATAAAGGAATACCCGAGGTTTGGTAATTTATAAGGAAAAGAGGTTTGCTTGACTCATGGTTCTACAGGCTGTCCAAGAAGCATGGCGCCAGAATCTGCTTCTGCAAGGACTTCAGGGAGCTTACACTCATGGCAGAAGGGGAAGGGGAACAGATACCACATAGTGAAAGAGGAGGGAAGAGAGAGAGAGAGAGAGAGAGAGAGAGAGAGAGAAGGAAGGAGGGTGCCAGTCTCTTCTAAACCATCAGTTCTTGTGTGAACTAGCAGAGCGAGAACTCACTCATTACCTCGGATGACACCAAGTCATTTGAGGGATCCGCCCCCATGACCCAGTCACCTCCCACCAGGTCCCCCCCAACACTGGGGAATAAATTTCAACATGAGATTTGGAGAAGACAAATATCCAAACTATATCATCCCCCATGGGTGTCATGTGACTTGGTCATATGGGAGCAGGAGGCATAATGACCAAATGGAAAGAGAGCTTGGAGAGCAGGTGACGGTTCGCTCCAGAGGCTCTGCCCTTGAGGGGACTGGACAATACCATGTTGTCCCCAGTTGTCATAGTGATGCCACTCAGCCTGTGGAAGGTGACTCTTTCCAGTTCGCGTCTGATGAAGCAAGTGTCCCCTCCAATTCTAGAACTGCAGGTAGGAAGGAGCCCTGTGGGTCGTTGGAGCTGCAGGAGGCACCAGGCCGAGACTCACGACAAATTTCACAGTAGCATGGGATTCTGTCCCCACAGGAGAATTGTGACATAGGAGCAAATCAGGTTTTCTGTCTGGAGAAATACAAAGGAAGATGAAAAGCCCAGACTGCAAAAAGATTAGCTGGAAGGGTAGACTTTGTTCTTTTTCCTTCTGCCAAGTCACTTGACAAGGAAAATTATTGACACTTAGTGACCCCAGATGCTCCATTTATCAGTTTGAGGCTCCGTGATGAAAATAAAGGGATCCGCATCCCAGGGAAGCATCCTTCCAGTCCACCTGGCCTGTTGCCACCTGCTGTGTCTCGATCCATGAACCAGAAGCAGCGAATCCACCAGAAGTCATGGGAGGAGAAGGGATAGAGGAATGGAGATGACCCCAGACCAGGAGACCTGGACACTCCAGGGCTGTCCTTCTAGCCAGGGAGCAGCTTCTGTCCTTCCCCCGGCCCCTGGCATGGCCAGGCTGCTCCTGGCATAGCTGGACATTGGTTGGCTTAATTGCATTTTTTTTCCAAGAAGGGAAAGAGAAGTCTGTAAAGGTGCAGGTGCTCTAAAAAGCTCTTATGAGACCTCATTCGTAGCCCTGGTGAAGTAAGTAACATATGCGCAAGCCCCTGAGGAATGCATTGTAGGGACTTTTCAGTTCATTGTGGCATGGCTCTGGAAGACTAGGTAGGATCTCCAGATGAACCAGAAACATAATGCCAGGGGCACCTGTTCTAGTGTTCCATGGTGGGGAGTTGTGGAAAGTCTCACCTGGCTGTGGCCATGGGGGAATCATATTTTATCCCTTCTTTCTTTTTTCTTTTTTTTTCTGAGTTGGAGTCTCACACAGTCACCCAGGCTGGAGTGGAGTGGCACACTCATGGCCACCCAGCGTCGACCTGCTGGGCTCTGGCGATCCTTCTGCCTCAGCCTTCCAAGTAACTGGAACTACAGGCATGCACTACCACGCCTGGCTAATCTTTGATTTATTGTAGTGATGAGGTCTCACCAAGTTGCCCGGGCTGGTCTTGAACCCGTGGGCTTGGGCAATTCACTCACCTTGGCCTCCCAAAGTGCTGGGATTACAGGGTGAGCCACCGAGCCCGGTCTATTTTATTCTTTCTTATAAATGAAGTTTACCTGGGGCAACCGACTCCCTAGAACACTTCCCTAGGGGGTGAGGCCACAAGACCCTGAACCACATTCACCAGGATGGCATAAATTAGCCTAAGGAATGAAAGAATGCTGTGTGTCTTAGTCCAATATGAGCTGCTCTAGCAGAATACATGAGACTGGGTAATTGATAAAGAACAGACATTTAGCCGGGCTCAGTGGCTCAGCCTGTAATCCCGCGCCTTTGGGAGGCTGAGGTGAGTGGATTGCCCGAGTCCGCGGGTTCGAGACCTGCCTGGGCTACTTGGTGAGACCTCATCTCTACAATAAATCAAAAATGAGCCGGGTGTGGTAGCGCGCGCCTGTAGTTCCAGCTACTTGGAAGGCTGAGGTGGAAGGATCGCCGGAGCCCAGCAG